GATAATGTAAAATAGGAAGAAAAGGTTCAAAGGGGTAGGGGTAGTGGGAGGGGCAGGGGAAAGGAAAGAAGGGAAAGGAAAAATGACGAGACTTGGAAAAAATGGAAACAAAGTCTTTGTAAATAGGGAAGGGTGGAGGGGGTGAAGGGAGGGCTAGGAATGGGGGCAAAATAAGAACCAAGATGCATTATGTAAAGGTACAATTCCCAATGAGAAACATAATTGCGTTGTATACCTACAATGTACCAATAAAAGAATTTAACCAAAAAAAAAATCATTAAGGTGATCATGACTCTCTGGTGTCCTTTCTCTTTGGGAGAGTCTATAGCCCACTAGGACCTGCTTCTAGCTCACTAGGTCTCAAACTTTCAGAATTAAAAACTGGTCTAAGGTTATCTATTTCTGTCTTTTAACATTGGTCTGTAGTTTGCCATGACATTGTCATTAAGTGAATGCAATGACTGGCTTTTTCTCTGCCTGAGTGGGTCTTCTCTACAAATGTTTGTAGCTCTGTCCATGTTTTCAGGATTCCTTTTTTTCAGAAGAACTTTGCTGCACCGATTCTTGATACTCTCTCTCCACTTCAGAAAGCTCCTCAGCTGCCATTCTCCACTGCTTAGCCAGAAGTTCCTCTGTAGACAATTCCCCTGAGTGCTCCTCCACCAGTTCCTCAACATCACCACTGTCTACCTGCAAGCTTGTCGACTCTGCTCTTATGACAATGTCATTAACCACTGAGTCAATTGAAGGCTCAGGCTCTTCTACACAGCCTTCAAAGTTTCTCTCCTGTATAATTTGAGCCCCCACTTTCTTCCAGGTGGATCTCAGTGCCCTCAGGAGACCTTGGCCCAGGATTTCTCAATTAACTCCACCCAGGAAAGACCAGCATTCAGGTCCTAACTCAAGACTTTGGTCATAAGTTAAAACTAAAATTCCAGTCACAACCCAAGTTGTTCACATGTGAGGCCTGTTGTAACTCAAGGGTCCTCTGTACACCTAGACACATGCTACCTGAGATACTCCTTAACAGATACCTCTACCGGACAAGAGATTTAATCAGGACCTAGATTCCTGATTTTAAAAAGAAAAACAAAATCTCTAGAATAAAACCAAATGGAAATAGAAGGTCCCAAAACAGATGATGACTTTTTTGTAAGATTAGATGCCTATAGCTGCTGAGAAAAGTCATCAGAAAACAAAAACCAGAGCTCATCCAAACAATCCTGTGTTGCCAAAAATGGCCTCCTGCCAGGCCAAGGAAGATACAGTATCAGGCCTCACCAGGCAAACAGGGTGATTTTGCTGTAGATGAAGAGCTACAAATATATCAGTAGGGCTGTGGCAAACCTAGAATTCCTAGGATCCTAGTAGTCAGTGTCTGAAAGCATGTAGTGTGGGTGGGCTCAGCACACCATCCTGTGACAATGCATGCAAATGTACAGTCCTTGCTCGACTATGGGATTCTTGGGGCAGAGACCTTCCCTTATTTTTTAAATCTACTCCAAGGACATAACATAGTTCTGGGACCTGGAACACAAGAGTGTTTAATAAATCTTTAATGAGAAATATTAGTAAGCAATCTCCTCTGGAACTTAGCTATTCCATTTACCAGGGTATGAGTGTAAAATTCTGCATTGTGGTCTGGAGACCTCTAGTGGCTATCTGCAGTTCACAAGAAGTCTGAAAACGGATTCCAGACAGGGAGGCCCAACACCAGGATAAAGGTTAAGGCCCAGATCAGAGACAAGTAGATCCCCTGGCAGAAGAATGCCCTGAAGAAGTTTTAAATCAAAGTTTTTCTCAAAGTTTGAATTAAAAGATAAACTTTTAATCAACTTACCTGAATGTGATATCTACAAAAATTTTCCTAATAATCGACTTTATTTAAAAGTACCACAAATCTAGTTCATGTCCCCTTTTAGGACCATGTGGAATTTTTCAAGATTTAATTAAACATAGATGACTAGTATTTAAAACATTGTTATTTGAAGACCATACGATAATAAAATTTGGGCAAGTAAAAAAAAGAAAAAACTCCTTTATAAACTCAATGCCAACTTCCTTCTATAACAGGTTCACTGGAACTTCTCAAAGACAGTCAACTCCAGGAGTCATCTATAGGACATCTGCAATCTCACAGAAACTTCGAATATCATTTTGGCAGGATGTTCATTTTGCTGGAAGGGAGCTACTTTTTCAAAATTATACTGGGAGCCTCATATTTAAATGAAATGGCATTTAATCTCAGTAAGGAATAGTACTGGACTCTGGAACTACCATGCCAGGATTCCCACCACAGTCCAACATTTACTAACTGGGTAAACTTGAACAAGTTACATCTCTCTGTACTTCAGTTTGTTCCTTTATAAAATAAAAGTCTCTGTCTCAGAGCTGTTAAAAGTAAATGTGTTGGGGCCGGGGATTTAGCTCAGTGGTTTTGCCACCTGCTGCGCAAGCGCAAGGACCCGAGTTCAAACCCCGGTACCAAAAAAAGAAGTAAATATGTTACACAGTACATCCAAAGAACAGAGCTCAGGGATTTGTAACTAGTAAAGAATCAATAAATGTTACTGCAATTAATGTGCTAAAAATTACCTACCATGACGTAAACCAACAAAGACCTGATGTCTTTAACAAGAACAAAAAAGGATATTATTTTAGGAGCTTACATGACTCTATAATACTCTAAAATATAATTTTTCTCTCACTTTATTAACTGCAAGATCATCATGCTCAATTCAAATTATGAATATTTGAAATGTCCTAAAAGTAAGTAGTTGACACTGAAGAAATCATTAACCTCTAATTCCTATTCATTTAATAAGAACTAGAGAAGAGAGAACATGGAGGGGTCTTTTTTTCATTATAAAGGCAGTTATAGTTTTACAGACTCAAATACAGCTTTGCACATACTTCTAGGTGTGGACCAAAGGTTCCACAAGAAAACCCCTTGAGTGGAGGGTGTCATTTTTCACATTATATATGATTTTAAAACTTACAAAGCCTGGGAAACTTTTGAAGTTGTTTGGCCAACTTTATAGTGGAAATGGGAAAGCTGACACTAAATATGAGAATAAAAAGAGCTTAAAAGTGGAAGATGGAAATTGAGACATTCGAAAAAAGAAAAATGTGTACTTTATTATGCACCAAAGAGAACATAAAATTTCACTTCCTTGACACTCTCCCTCCTTATAATCAAGTTTAGGAAATAGACAAATCATCCACTCAAATACCTATAAAACCAATGAGATCACTCAACTACACACTGTTCACACAGGCAACTTCTTTTTCCAAGCAGAAACCCATCCTATAGAGTGGAAAAATATGTAACCAATGCTTTCAGTAAGCAAGATCAAGATCAGAGATGCCAAAAGCACAATTTTGGAGAAAGTACAGTAGTTACAATGGCTGGGGTGCACCTTTTTTAGGTTTAAAAAGATGAACTATCTAACCTTCAAGTGAATCAATGTTTCTCTGTTAATTCCTTTTATAGCCACTGGGAGGTGATGATTTAAACTACAGTGGGGACTTATACCCAAAATACAATCACCATCTGTAACTCTAGTTCCCTTTGTCAGTGCTCTTTCACCAACCACATGAAGTTCTCGGTAGAAGCTGCATATTTGCAAATAACCTCCTAATGTTAACATTATAAATGATTAAGGAAAAAATTACAGAGGCAACTCCAAAAAGAAAAGAAGCCTGGCTCACCTTTTCCCATTTGACTTATCTATACATAGTATCATAGTCAATTACTATTTACTGAGCTTTCAATAACTGACTGGCACATGTGTGAGTAATTATGTTCCTTGTTCAGCAAGATTTAAGTGACAAGGCATAATTTGAGAACACATAAAAATGCTACACAAAGTTTCCAGGCATTGATGCCATAACATAACATATGACAGAAGACACAGCCAGGCGTGAGCACCTTGGGAGAGCAGGACCTGCAAGTTCTGCTGTAGCTATGAGCCAGGAGCACCTCGGGAAAGGGACATTTTACAGCTCTTCAGAGAAATGGGAGCACCGTCCTTGGTAGTGGCTTTATGCCTAGGTTTTAGATCTGTGCCAGATCTTAAAACTGAAGTACAAAAATTATGAAATTGACTTTTTTAGGTCTATGGTTTTATACAACAAATCAGAACTTCATCTAAGAAAAAATTGCAATGAAGAAAGACCCTGTTAAATTTTATACCAAATGATGATTCATAGTGATTCATTCCAAAGTAACAAAAAGCATTTTCCCAAGAGATGTATAAAAACAGGTGTGGCCTTCAGGAAAAAAAAAAAAAAAAAACCGCTTTTCTCTGTCATAAATCTTAAAACTCACAATATACTCTCAATCTCAGATTTTTAAAAAATCATTTTCCTTCTTTAGGGAAAACTATGATGAGAAAATTCAGTAAAATTTTTGCAAATAATATATAACAAAGATAAGGGAGAAAAAAAACAGCCGGCTTCCAGCCAAAAAGACTAACAAGGAAAAATGAACATTTTCAAAAGCATTTTGGAACTTTATTCCAGCTACCTCTGCATTAAGCTCTTTTTTTCCCTCCCAAAATACGTCACTTAACTGTCTGTCAGAATAACTCTTGCCCATTCTACCTGATCACACTCCCAAGCTGCAGCTTTGCCTGCATTCACTTCTCAGTGACAAGCTGCTCAGAGAGCACCTATTGAAACGAATATGATCATCTGCTGCTCCTTTCTCTCCTCCTTTCAGGGCATACTGCTGTCCATCAGGAGAAGTAATTAATGGGTTTATTATGTATGAAACCGTCATGGCATCAGTTTGCTGTCTGATTTGAACAGCTCCTATCAGCTCTTCATTCATGTCAAGTATGCTCACTGTCCGGAGATATGATAAAGCCGTACTTCCTTTTGGATTTTTCCCTCACTATTCAGACACCAGTGCACTAGAACTATGTGTCACAGAAGGACAAGGAGGACAGAAGAAACCCCTTCACCCTCTGCAGAAAGGAAGGTAATGGACTGAAAAGTTGGTAAGGAGAAAACCAAGAGAAAAGGGGGATAACAAAGAACATCCGTGCTTGTGGTTCGGATTAAGAATTCTAAAGCAGCATAATTTGGGAGAATGTGTAATTCTAAAATATGGACAAGCAGAACTTTTCCAGAGGGTAAAACATCTATAGAAACAACCAGGATTTCTGTCTGCTGAAACATTCAATGAATTTTTAATACGTTCTGAACACTGCAGTTGGGTCAACTGCTGTTATCTGATAAAGGGAAATTCGCCCTCTACAATCCTATCCAAATGGAGTCTTCATCTGTCACATGCTGTCCTAGCTGATGCTAGGAGAGTATCAGAACTACAGGCAGAGACCGATGCAAGAAATAAGATGCACCGGTAGAAACAACACCAAAAGAGAGCAGAGGAGGCATTTCAGGGATCGAAACTTCCTGTTTACAGCCAGAGTTCAAATTACTGAGCTTCAAACCAACCACTGCCAGGTAAGATTTAATTTTACATTACTTTATGGCTTGACTACTGAAATTAAATCTGCTGTTGTGCAAATGAGCCAGTAGATGTGAGTTTCATGTGTTTCTTCCTTAAACTGTATGAAGATTTAAGCCTTCTGAAGTAAACACTTGTTTCCACTTATGCTGCCTAAATAAGTCACTCATAACTAAGATAATAAAGCATCTCAAAATCCTATTCATTTTGCACTGGATCAATCTCATCTTCATCTTCATTTTCTAATATCTTTTACCTAGTAGTTTGGGAAAAAATGCAAAGAGACCGACATGGTGCCTAAGAGAGCCATTCACAGGTGATTTTTACCAAGCATCCAAAAGAACTTTGTTTCCCATGGTACTTGGTAAAACAAAGAAAAATTAATGAGCACTTTTAATATTACTGTTAATGTAAAAGAATAAAGCTCAAGGACTGATTTTTATTTTTAGAGAAAAAAATAGCTGTGATGTCACTCTCATTCACACTAGAGAAAAAAATCTCTAGTAAACTAACACCACGAGAATGGGGCTAATTTACCCTAAAGATACTGGGCATACTTTTTAACAGATTAAATGAGGACCCTTTTCTGATTAACAACAGAACAAAAAGGGATGTTATGTTAAAACCTCAAAAGTTCTGACACAGATCAATGGTCCAAACTGTAAAATGAAAAGACCTAGGGAAGCTATCAAATAATTTCAAAGGGGTATGGTGCCTTTTAGAAATTCCCTAGAAATCAGTTCATAATGAGCCTTCTAGAGAGACCATCATGTAAGAAAAGGCGAGACAGAGAAAAGGAGAGAGAGAGAGAGAGAGAAAAGGGGGGGAGAGAGAAAGAGTCAGACCTCCTTTACCTGGTGATATTTTAATTCCCCAAATAAAATGCAACCATTTTTACAAAAATTCAATTGAAAAAGTTAGGTTCCTATCAGTGTTGTCATAAGGAAGCCCTACAATAAATAATCATGTTTCTATTCTCTTAGAAGGGAGAAGACAAGGAAAACAAAAAGAATCACACCTAATTACAGAGATCTTCCAATACAAGGAAAATTGTAAAGAATAATTATTTAATAGTTGTCCTAAAAACAGTCAAATTTGAAATTCTTTTCTTCCATTTCACTGAATTCTTTCCTTTTTTCCAATTTTAGTTAAGACAATGAAAATACATGATCCCTTCACTCTTTTCAAAGCAGTCTATAAATAACCTTAAATATCATAAATCCTTTGCATTTGAAGTCATTACAGAAATTCACCTGTCATTTTCCACTACCAAAAGAAAGCAGTAATTTAAATACAAGTAGTGACTACATACTATATCAATTTGTTTCAGAGAAAAAAGGTTTAAAAATTTCAAAAGTATTTCATTTATGTACCAGCCACAACTAAAGGTATTGATTTTACTTACCTATGAGACTTATCTGAACCTTTAATGGTTCTTTTATCTGTTTCCTCCTTGTGATGTTATAAATTGGACATATTTCAAAATATCCATATAATCTAAGTGAATAATACCAACTGAGATCTCAAATTATAATTAGAGATTTTTATTCAAAAATCTTGGGCAAAAATAGAGTTTTACAACATTGTGTTCAATTTGCTTCTAATAAAAAGAATTAGGGCTGGGGATTTAGCTCAGTGGTTCTGCTACCTGCCTCGCAAGCATAAGGACCCGAGTTCAATCCCCAGTACAAAAAGAAAAAAAAAGAATTAAAGGGGACATAAGATAGTATTTCTGAAGTCCTCTGGATTTTACTTCTCAATGCAATGTAAACAGACTCCTGCCCCACTAGCTGTAGACTTTGCCTCCCCGGCTCCTTCTCCAATGATGATCAATGGGCAGAGGGACACAAGGGACACAATCGCACCCCACCCTCGACCCTGCTAGTGTCAGCCTTCATTTTCTTTCCTATCTAAATCAAGGCTTTTCTCTATAATGAATCCATTCTGAAAAATGATTAATGCAGTTTCAACAACAGTTTTCAAAAACTCCAAAAGCAACAGCTAGTTTTTAACACATTATTTATCCATGTGCTAAAAAGTTGAAAATTCCTTTAACTGCAGCACCTTGTAGATAAATGGGTAGGGCATTATATCCAGTATCTAAAGATTTGGTTTATTTATGGTAGTTTTCCCCTGGCATCGGTAGATTTAATAAATAAAATTCTGAAAATTCTTAGGGAGTATTTCAATGACTATTTCTATAATTTATAATGTATTATATTCACATATGTCATATAAATATTATATTGTAAAAGTAACATGATTGTGTATTGGTTTCCTTCATAGAAATGTTTTGGCTACTATATCCTTCTAATGAAATTATTACCATTCTGAATACTTTATTACTTAATATTAAATTCTGAATACTTTAAATCAGCCAAAAGCTATAAGCTTTTTATTTAAACTATGAGAAAATAAAAATATAGTTCAAAACAGAGCACACCCACTTAGCATCTTTGAACAGCAATCCTTAAAAAGTCATTGTCTTAAATAATAATCACTGTTTTAGAATTAGAAATATACCTAAAATTCATTCTTGTGTATTAACACTTAAAGAGAATGGCACTACATACTTTAAATACATTAAGTGTGTATTTACTTACATTTATAGTCACAACTTTCAAATCTTCACCTAAATTGTTTTAAAGAATTTTTCATTCCAGTATAATGATAAAGTATTTTAAGCCTAATTCAACAGGGTATTTCTACTAACCAGTATAATTGTTGCTTATTATGGTTAATATTCTTTATTAAGTGACCAAATTTGAATAAGAATGTAATTCATCATGAAGACTCATCTCTCCAGCTTCTCCCTATTGGGAGAGAACAATCTTTGGCTTGTGATATCACAGTCTGTGACTGGGGAAGGGGCTCTGGTATCCAACAGATGACTGCAATCTTTCAATGGGAACTAGCTGCCGCAGAGATGTGAACACTGTCATTTCAAGTCCTATCACTGAGACACCAGTGAGATGCATGGCAGCAACTCAATTAGTGAAAGATGCCTTTTTTGCATTTGCTACTTTTTCAGCATCATCAAAGATAAAGATACAAGCTCACAGTTTACTTCATCAATGATTTGAAAGAATAAACATGTTAAATTCACAGATGAGGATAAAAATGAGAGTGAGGAAAATATCAGTAAGCAGACAATAATGGAACAGGAAGCTGGAGAACCAAAAAAAATAGGTACAAAATTCTACCTTGATTCAAACAAAAATAGTGATGCCACTCAGGAAATTGAGAAAAATTATCACTACACTCCAAATGGGAGTGATACTGCCTCTCAATGAAAAAGAGACTCTTAAGTATACATTATAAAGAGATCTCATAACACAGATTAATTAGTATGTGACATACAAACACTGTAACATGAGGGCAGAGAGGACGCTGGTTAACATCCTTCTAAGAAATCATGAATTCACAAAAGAGGAATCATATTAATTAGCAAAACTATGCTCAATAAGTCTTCACAAAAATTCACAGAAAAAAAGGAAGACTCAAAGGAAACAAAATGGAAAGATCCTCTTATAAACACATACACATATGTGTGTATATATACATACACATACACATTTTTCCTTTTTTTATCATCTTCATTCTATAGCTAACTGCCAAAGGACAAAGCAGACTGACCAATCCTTTTGGACACAGATGCAGTTTACCCTTAGCTTACTAGCAATGGCCACAATTCAAAATACCAGTCATCTGTGGCAGCCTTTTCGACTCAGAGCATATAATAAATATTATATATACAAAATACCACCACTACCACACATAAACTATAAGCCAAGCTGGAATCTCATTATCTATAGTTACACAGTTTTCTTGAGATGATGGTATGTCAAAGATTTCTTAAAGCATTTACCTACTCCTATGTACTAGTTAATTACAACCACTGCAACCACTGTATTGTTCAGCAGTTGTTAAAAGATCTTGACATCCTCCATGGTGCTGGAAATACCAGCAAAAAAGAATCCAGACCAATCAGAAAATACTTTGTATAGATTTTATCATTTAATGTCACATTTCTGTCATCAGAGTATGTGAATGTTCTTATTTACTTATATAAAAATGCAGCAGGGAATAAGTAGCAAAACCCAGGGACAATGGCCAGCTCAGTTGTCCCAATATAAATCTTCACTGTTTATAGAACTCTGCTGATACAATAATCTAGATAGGCTGGTTGGTGCATACATACTATCATGCTTAATACTGTATATGACATGGTGCTACTTTGATATTTAATCGTTCATCAATTGCATACCTTCATATGTGTTGCAAGGACACAGTCCTCTACATATAGTAACTTCTGGTTAACTTGTGGTAAGTAATACCTACACAAGAGTTTCTTATGGCTAGAAACCTCCTTAGTGCTTTGATAATGCCTTTCTTCTAACACTATGACAAGACTGCACTGAAAATCTACTGAGTACTTGTCTTGCCTATGAAATTCTGCATTCCTTTTGTGCAAGGGTCTCAACAATAAAGATCATATCTCATTTATCCATTGTTCAAATTAAGTCAGAACTAATCTATAGGTGTATTGGATGAATGTGAAAATGTATCCTCAAATACACTCAAGTACAATCTTAAACAGGCAGAAGAACAATGATCCTAGAATATACCTCAGTTTTACTTCACTGCTAATGGGCAAGTAGGTCAATCACAGAAAGTCTCAAAGCGGGGGTTGGAGCAGTCATACTTATATAATAGCTATAAAGAGAATGCATCTGCTAAGGATACTTATTATGAGTTATGCAAATATAGGACAACAAATTCATCCCTTATATATTTGCTGTACTTGACACATGGAAATCTTATGTCCAGTAGAATCCAAATTGGTCTTACTATTAAAAAGTGATTACAGGAGAATTTGGAAACACTTCGCAAAACAAATTGAGGAGATACTACAATCAGCTTTCTACTTAAAGATGTGAGAGGGGAAACTGACATTCTCCCTTTCCCTTCTTCCCCTCAGAACCTATGCCTGTAC